TTTTAAAAGCTCGGGTTTTATACAATAAGAATGTTTCTAGCAGATGCCTCTTGTTTAATATATTAAAATTTTGCAAAGCCTTGAGCTATAACCTTAGTCCACCCACGGTCCTTTTGTTATGAGGTAGAAGATCTCATGATACCATACACATTAACCCACCAATACCTAGGACACAGGGCCAAGAGTTGCCCCAGTTCCTGCCCTGAGGGCTGGTACCATGGAAATACCAACTGCTCCTCACCAGTAGCGAGGCCCCGTGAGCCCTTTCAGTTTATCCAGTTCAGACCAGGAGCAGAAGAGAGCCCAACATCTAAGAGGAAAGCCACCCCACAGAATGTGAACATATGCAACCTGCTCTCTGGCACTAAAGGATGGGACTCTCTCCAACCCGGGGGTTCCTACAGTCGTTCTCATTTCTACTCCAGGACCTGGGCTCTGAGCTGCAGAGACAATACCTAAGGGCTTGCACACATTTATTTCTCTGGACATGACAGGCCTACTATCAAGCTGCTGTCAGAATGACGTGACCCCTGCCCCACCAAACCCAAGTGCATCAGGGGGGGTTAGGACTACTTGTGGCAGCTTGTCCAGCAGCTTGGGCTCTCAGAAAGTCCCGCACTTCCTGAGGGGTCCGCAAATACTGCTCTATTTCACTATCGGAAATGTTCTCATCTCCGGTGACCGTGGAGGCAGGGGGGGCGGGGCAGACCCGCTTTGGGGGCTTCAACATGCAGGGTGGGAGGAGAAGGGCAGGACTAGCTGGCCGCTTCCCCTCAGGTAACTCGGAGGCGCTATTCCCCACTTCCTCTTTTCCCTGTCCTTGCCCCGGTCCCTGTCCCTGCAGCTCCTTCTCCAGGGCCTCCACCTCTAATGTCCCTTCTCGAAAGGCTTTGCGAATCAAAGTGTGGCGGTGCTGCAGCAGGTCACTGATGTGCTTCACCACAGACCGTTTGTCCAGTTTCAGTACCTGCAGCCAGGCCAGCTGCTCAGCCATCCGCAGCAGCACAACCAGCAGCTCCTGTAACCGGGAGGAAGCGGGGTAGGGCAGGTCCACATTTGCCAATTTACAAAATCGGGCCAGGGAACATGTCAGACGAGCTGAGGGCTGCAGCGACTGCCAAGCCAGGAAAGCAGCAGCAGTGATGATAGGCAAGGGATGCCGCCCGGTCACCAGCCACGTCTCATCCGCCAGCTCCACCAACTGCAGTGTTCGTGACAGCATCTTCTCTTTGTCTTCCATGTATTTGGCTGGCAGCGATGGGGAGGCTTGGAAAAGTTTGAAGCTGAAATAACCAAAATGAGGGTCGTGTCTCAATGCCTATGGGGAAGAGCAGTCTGCTCAGGATGAGCAAGCTGTTCTAGCCTCTTGGGAACACTCAAGCTTGCTGGCAGCAAGTTTCACACAGGGACTGAGAGAAGATCAGGTGAGTTTTCTGCTTGTGAGGTGAAGGGCAGGAAAATGCAGAAGGGAGCTAACGTGTGTTGAGCAACCCCCGTCAGCCATTATTCTGAGTGCTTTACAAGTGTTCTTTTACCTTCTCTACACCTTGTTATGTGCATTTATAGTTGCAAAACTTGCCCCCAGTATTCAGCTAGGAAGTGACCAAGCTGACACTGATAGCCTTTGCTTTCTACTATATTTCTCAGGAGAGAAAATAACACAGCCACTTTAAAGAAAAAAAATTAGCTTCTATCTACAGCTCTGTTGTCTCCTAATAATCCTTCAGCTCCATTCCCAGTTAATCCACACAGGCCACACACGTGAGTGGTGCAACTCAGGAGCCCTGTGCCAAGGCTAATACCTTTCTTACATCAGTAGGTTGCTATGAGGGCAAAAAGATTTGAAATTATAGCATTCTAGAAATGTAAAATGGGATTAGTACTAGGCACAGGAGAGGGAGAACAGATTTTTCTCCCACATCTTTTTAGACAGGCTTTGGTCAAAAAGAGACAGCCAAAGGTAAAAGGATTCGGGTCTAAGGACTCATCCCATCCCATCCCATCCCCACAACTCCCACTAGGCAGGTACCTGCTACAGTAGGTCTTCACCAGGTCTGCCAAGCACAGAGATGGCACATCCAGCCCCAGGAGCTTCACTATCTGCATGTAGGTGCCAGAAAACATATCCAAATCTGCATACAACAGGGTGCAGATGGTCCCCATGGTCAGGGGCCAGTTATGCTGCCTACAGGTGATTAAGACACAGCACCCAACCAACACCTCCTTCTTTTGCAGCCTGGCAGCACGGATGCCAGGGTGCTGGTATGCCTTTTGGTAGTAGGCAACTGCTGTGTCCTCAAATGTTGATGGCAACTGCAGAACTCGACAGAGATCTCTCACTCGGCGGAGACCTAGGAAAACCCACAAGAGTTAGAGAGGTCAAAGGAGCTACTGTGTAGCGCCTAGCAATTTCTGCTAAACTTGCCTCCGATACAAGATGCACTACTATAGCCCTGGATGGTGTCACTCAGTTGGTTGGAGCATCATCCTGTAAACCGCAAGGTCATGGTTCGATTCCCACCAGGCACTTGCAGAGGCAACCGATCAATC